TTGTTTGACTGTTCTGCAGGAATAATATTACCCTAAAATCGCCGAAGCGACAAACTTCGCGCGGACAGCTAAACACAGAAAAACAGTTATGATTAGCATCACTGATCCATAGTTAGAATGACTTAGTGGATGCCTGAATAAAAGGCCCCCAAAGTGATTCCGCGTCTTCCAGTGTGCTTCTCAGTGAGTTCTCAACGACCTCACGCGGAGCACACATTTGACGCACTACACAATCTGTTCAGGATGCCACTATCTGAAGGACATCTTGGCGACTTTCGTTTGAGGTTTCGTCCTGTCAGTGAAGTGAGTCTGTCGACCAATTTAGAAGCCGTTTTATTTTCGTTTGAACGATCGTCCTCCTGTTCTGGCGTAGTTATTCCGGTGAGTCTACACCATAGGGGGGAAGCACTGAACTCGAGTTTCGCTCTCATTAGAGCTCATCAGCAGTGCATATCCAATGGCCGTGCGGGGATTTGAGCCCCGAGACTTCTGACATGCGGACACACCAATCACATCGCTCAAGTGTGAACACGTTCGCCTGTTCAGACGTGAAAATGCTGATGCGTCCAACGTGCGTTGGTGGAGTAGTGGTCACACGCTCGCCTCGCACGTCAGATGTCCGGGGCTCAGATTCCGGCACGGCCATTGGATATGCACTACTGATGAGCTCTAATAAGAGCGAAACTCGAGTCCAGTGCTTCCCTTCGGTGTGGACTCACCAGAATAACTACGCCAGAACAGGAGGACGACCGTTCAAACGAGAGTGGTGTAACTATGAACAAAGTACTTATCCCACACATCCCCGGAACTGTTTTTTTGGGAATCATCAGCATCTGATGAAACTCTGAGAATTTTGAACCCGCGATCTTCTAAATGGCCGGACGGTTTTTCTATACCCACTGGGAATCTTTAGTTGAATAAAGACAGAGCATAGGGACGGATCTTCTACCTCCAGAATCGTATTTAGTGAGCTAAAGAAGAGGATAAAAGCACTCAAAGATCTGTATCCACTTACAGTACACTAGGTCCGAGCAGCGATGTCAGAACGAGATGTGTTGTGTACATGGGCAGCAAATAGCTAACCATCAACGTGAGAGAGAACGGAGGATTGGCATACTAGGTGGAATTCAAAATTCCAACACGGTCACCAAGCTTCACGACTTCAAGATGTTTGAGTGAACAGGGCCGCTTGCTTGTTTTAAGCAGAAGCCTATAACGGACATTGTATTCATAAGGTTGTCCTTCATCAACGGATTCATCAGGTAGTCGCGAGTTTCATTCAACCCTGAAAACCGAATTTTACGCAAGTGACAGTCTACACTCATTTGTTAATCACTTAGTCTCTCCTTCATGAAATGAGTATTGTGTTATATAAAGCGAGCTTGATATGGCACACTCAGGTGAGGAAAAAAACCATACTCTCGGTTGAATCTTCGTTATCACCAAAGTAATTCATGAATGATTTGCGACAGTTTATCTTCTTTTTCAGAGCAACCTGAAAGACAAAATCAAGCATTATGTCGACTGCCGTAGCCCTGAACTCCTCAGGTTTACGTATATGCATAGGTAAGGTGACCTGCACTCACTTTGCTGTTTCTCTCCGGCATCTAGACGGGCGTCAAATTGTGGAGCATAGTGAAGCTTACATAGTTTCTCTACAGCACGTGGAGGACGGACTTACGCGGTGCACATCTGTCTGTCTTTAATCCTCTGTGAAATTGAGGTAGCTTCTAATGCTTTTCAATGACTGGGGGGGGGGGCCTGGCTAAGTGCATGCTTCAACCCCAACACAGTAGTCATTCATCAACCTCCTTCCACAGTATCGCACTGTTTAGGTTTCCACGCTCAGCAAGGTGGTGCACCAGTGAAGCAAATGATTGACTCTGGTATTGGAGCTCGCCTATTCGACAGAATCATTATTGATATGTTTTTTTCCTTCACTGACCAATCCGAAATATACATTGCTGATTAAGTTTTCTTCTGGGAACTGGAGGGCAGAAGGTGAACTCGGGCGAGGGGAGAGGGGCACTTCGCATCAATCCTGTCAGATCTTATTCATCGCCTGCTCATCGATTATTTGCATGAATTACCATTCTCCCTTCTCCACTCACCAGTCTGGAGGAGACTGTTAGGCAGAATTTTCTTTCGTATTCCCAAAAGTTTTCGTGTAAAATTGAGAAGAAAGCAAACACAAGAAGGGCGAGGGCGGAACAGGGCGTGGGCTTTCAGCAACCCTATGAGTACTATATCACGTCTGTACCTACACCGCAATATCTCGAAACATGAGGTGGCCTGGTGCAGCACATTCAGTTGCCTGGAAATATCAAAACCGAGAGATTCAGCTGGGTTCCAGATGAATCTCTCGAAAAACCAAATTCGTTTGCAAATGAGTGTAATTCGCTAATTTCGTGCAATTTGTGTTCAAGTAGAACCTAAGGTTGACGGAAACTCGGGGACTGCGCCTACCGGATGAGCCCGAAATGGAAGGGCGAAACCGGTTGTGGGCTGTCGAGGAGTTTCCAGCAACCTTGTGAGTAGTACAAAGTAGTTCGAATTTCGCCAGGTTTGGAAACTAATTTCAACCTGCATATCCTCCCACTCTCTTATGACCTACTCAAGAAGTGTTTGTGTATATCCTGGGCTATTAGTAAGTCCATTTAATTGGAATCAATATCATTTGAAGCGGAGAATCGGAGTGAGCGGTTAGTTGGAAACGGGTAATGAATCCTCCACCAATTCCTGTCAGTTCTACCAGCAGGGTTTGTCTCTTGAACAGCTTTCATCCGGTTTCCTAACTTTCATTGAAGGCTCAAGAGAGTGAGAAGAAGGTACAGTCGGGTGTGTGTGTGTGTAGAGAGAGAGAGAGAGAGAAATGTCTAAGGGGGATTTGTTCACAGTGCACTCAGTGATTGACACCTTGGCCCAGTCACACACACAAGACCATGAGTGAACAGGATTCACGGTTCGAAAGACTGATGGCGGGATAGGCAGAAGAGCCGGAAGTGGAACTGCAGACTTCTGGGCCTTGTATTTTGTGGGGAAAAAGTGGGAAGTCCAGTTCTGGTTCGTGTCCAGTGTCTGTCGCTCGTGAGTGAGTGACAGCGACATCATGTTTCTGGCTCTCAACCGGTAGTTAGTGTCGGAATCCGAACAAACATTCTTCTTTAATTGGGCACTTTGGATGGGGAAGCTGAGTCTCGAAAGCAGGGACATTGCCTTTTCTTTAGGACTTATCTCCTCAGCTTGCAAGCAACTAGAATCTATCGGGCGTGCAATGATCTCTGTCATGCAATTGCCGAACTTTGGTGATTACACCAATGCCCAGCAGAGGTGGGCACATGTCTGCTGAAGCCTGAAATTCATTACGAGAAAAAATAAGCGCCTGGTCATATGACTGCAAACGCAAAGTCACGTCAAAAGTTCACATTGAACATTCCACTCTAGGGATTAGGCATGCAATGGATAGTTTACTGTGCAAAGAGCTTCAACGACCTTGTCGCACCAGAGGACATTACAACTCAAAAGTGTAGTAGCTAGGTTCATTCGCCTTCAGTTTTGCGTTCTTGTCCAATTGGCCGTGCACTATCCGGTCAATCGAAGTTCAAGGTCATGCTACGGAACCGAAACAGTGAAATGGGAAGTTCATCCACCTGCATTAGCGAACATGAAGTACGTAGGAACCGGTTATAAACGCAGATATTATATTCGCTACTGAAGTAACGCGATGGCCACAAAGTGTACTTGCTGTATGTCCGTTGTCAGTGGTGAGCTGCGTGTGCGCATGCTTGGGTGAACGGGGTTCATGCATGAAGGCATGGGTACCAGGAAAGCGGGTAATTAGGTTTTATTCACTAACTGATTAACTGGATATCCGAGACGGTCTCAAACCATTTCTCGGAAGTTCCCAAAACTCTTCGACAGTCTACGACCGGTTTCGCCCTTCTTGGGGTTCACCAGGTAGGCAGAGTCCCCGAGTTTCCGTCAACCTTATGATCTACTTTAATTAGCGAAACACACTCATTTGCAAACAAATTTGGCTTTGCGGGGGACTGGCCAGCTAAATCTCTCGTTTGTGTTGTGATATCTCGAATATCATACCAAATACAACATGAGGCAGCACAGACGGCTGAAGAACCTCTTAAACGAGTGATTCAGCGGAGTTCCAGGTGAGTCTCCCGTCGAAACCAAATTGGTATGCAGATGAGCGGTGTTCTAGATTGAAACAGCCAATCGGAGCGCACGACGGTCATGCCTTTGTATGTCTCGGTACCCGTAGCTTAAGAGTGCTCATCACCTAAGATCTTTAGCTATGCAGTCGAATGAAGCGCCCGGCTGGGCTTACGCTCAACTCTAATTCGGAACGTCTAGCTCAGGTACAGCGCTCATAGTTTACGTTAAGTGTACTCTGCGCAGACACTGTGCAAAACGCAACTGTGACATAATCCAGCTGATGTTGCGACGGGGCCTAGGAACAACGGTAGACTGAAGTGCTCCAAGACAGCTAGCTACCTGAAGTTCAAACCATTTCGACACCATCTTTCGTGGCTTCGCCAAGAACATAACCCCCGAGAACACGGAACCCAAATGACTCGCGTTAAGTAGCTCGGCTAAGTTTATTCGTTCGGCTCCTCTTCTTGTGGCCAATGAGCAGAACACACAGTTCTTAGGCAACCGAAACGCCAATTTGTTGGAGGAGAAACGAACGACAGTTCTCACCTGATTGATCGATAAATGTTTTCGCGTTATTCAACAACATTACCCGTTTCTGTGGCACTTTCCAATTCAACACTATCCAGCTAGCATTTTGCAAGAAATTATGGGAACTTTTCTTTCCCGAATAAGGTTACACGCTAAGTGGCTGCTGAATCAATGTTTCCATCGCCTCTCAACAGGCATGATTAACACTCAACTCAAATTCAATTAGTATCAAGCACCTCCCCTTATCGATCAGGTGTATCGTCCTCCCCACCTGAGCAATTAGAACGCCCCTCGTGGGTAAAAACGGAGAGAAATAGTTCTTTAATAATTCTTGAGGACAAGGTAAACTGTACATAGGTAAGGGGGTAGAAAGTACTCATTGGGCTGGCACGATTACCGTTCACCTTGATTGAACCATACTTGAGTGTCGTGAGCGAACTGGAACCGGCCTGTTTGTATTCGGGATATCACAGCTCGTTGCAGTTTTAGAAATTTTTCGTAACTTCATCGTTTTGACCAACAGGGGAGTCACGTCAAGAAACACAACATCTGGAAATCGTCAGTATCAGTGAGCCAAACGTCCAGGAAAGTAGCCACCAGGGAAGTCGACCGGCTTTTGCTGTTTTTATTGTTAAAAAAGTAGAATGTACGCGGGTTGTGATGAAGGTTGGGAGCGTGATTAAATAACTGTGCAATCGCACTTGATCATAAGCTATTTCGAAAACTACTGTCAACTATCGGTTCAGATTAAAGTAGTATTGCACGGATAAAACGATAAAAAAAATATAAATGTTTTGCAATCCAGTTGGTTCATCCTATCCTGTACGGACAGAATCTTTGAAAAAGCAAGCCAGGAGGACGTTATGCCATGTGTCAGCTAAAATAATTTAATTTGTACCCAAACTGTCACAAAATGTTTTAAGGTCAGGTACTCTCCACGTACCTCCTGTACGTATTGTTCACGACTGCGTTTCTTGGGTGTGGATTCTCAGTTTCGTGGATATGGTTCGGACTTTCCAGCAGAGATTTCATTCTTGCCGTGTCCAAAGTTGGGGGGAACTGTTTCGTTCAGATATTGAATTTCATACTGGTTGGAAATCAACAGGATGCAGCGATAGTGCCTGGTTTGGCCGTTTTAGTGACTGTGAGTCTTGTTGAGTTCCTACACCTGTCGATCGGCTAGATGTCTGCATTTACTAAGTAGACGTGCTCTTGCATGTATTTTCTACTGAATGCAAGTATGACTTCGGTAGACCTTCACACATGTACAGCTGCGTAGCCTACTGATGAGATATGCAAGTAGTATCTGGTCGCCAGATGAAAGCGCCGTCCCTGCATTTGATGGAAGGTCGACGTGGAAACTACTGGACATTTTTACAGTGTTCTTTCAGGATTGTCAGGTGTTCAGACAATGTCCAGGGAAGCTCAAGAGGACGCCTGCAAATGGTGCTTGTCATCATCATCGTCACCATCATGACACCAGTGTTCAACACACCGACGCTTCACTGCCGTACAACCACGATTTATTTGAGAACCTTATTGTAAAGAAAAGGGGGCGAAGAGACTTGTTGCTAGCTTACCACAATCATTCCAAGCCGCCTACACCTCCAGACATTCACTCAGGCGATCTGGATAGAAACTGACAACAAGAAAGCCGCTGACATCGGTTGGCAGCCATATCTTGTAGTGTCTCCAACCAGTCACAGTGAGGATCACGCGGTCTCCATCTTGGAAGGCACCGACAGCACCTAAGTGTTTAGTGATCTCTTTCATACTCCTCTGCCAAGTCAAGGGTTGGCCACCTCTCTGTTTACGCCACTCCTAATTGGGCATGGAAAACAGCACTCTCTTCGGCAAACGATGGTTCGGCATACGTAAAACATGTTGCAACCAACGCAGCTTCCGGTGCGGGACACATTCTTCAATGGAAGTACCCGTTACACAACCGAAAACTCGCTTTCTAACTGCCTCATTACGGATTCGCCGACACCAACCCACGCGAGCTATGGTTCTGAGACAACGATTGTCGAACACCTGAAGACGTCTCAGGTCCGCTGCTCGAATAGGCCAAGTTTCGCAGCCCGCAATGTACCTGATCAACAAGTCCCTTGAGATTCAGGGACACACAACCTTAACGCCATAGGTGTAGCAAATTAATGAACGTAACCCGAGGCTTGCAGATTCGTGCATTCACCTCATCTGTCACACTACAATCAGGACTGATAGCTTGTAACTGCTTAGATCGTATTTGTCAATGATCAAGTCCGTATTTTGAGCGCCCCTTTCCCTTTTCGCGGGTAGCCAGATTTTTCTCCAGTCTATTTAAGCAGCACGGCCTGACTTACTACATTTATCGGCAAAAACAGCGCAAATGGTAGCGACAGTACAATGGCACAGTGGAAATTTACAAAACAGAAGGCACTTTTGCGGATCTACATGAGGTCATGCAGAAGACGCAACAGTGTAATGTCTGGAGAATAAAGTCGATGCCTCAATTTCAGTCACTGTTGAATCCAAAGGTCTGAATGCAACAGGTAATCGAAAAAACTTAGGACGACGGTCAAAGGGAAGGTCATCAACCTCCATTCACAGGCCCGATGAAACTTCAAAAGAATCCTTCACCGCCAGCCGATACAGATGCCTTCTTGGGAACAGAGGATGTTTGGAAACTGAAGAAATCTGCGTCATCCAGCGTATCACCTGAATCTCATCGTATGTGGGCGGGCTTCTTGCGCCCACAGGTTGATAGGTCTGATGACCTCAGCTATCAAACTGTTGGCAACCCGGTGAAAACTTTGCGAGTATGTACGCCCGACATGGAAGTAGCCACAGACGAACAGTTACCGAATTGGCCTCCTCAAAAGTGTTGCTACTGTAATCAATGCCTTACGGGTGAGGTGCATAGATTAGTTCACGCTATGGACTGAATGGCGAGCCTGGTTGACCCAGTCTGAATTTATCGATCGAGCGAGAGGCAACCTTCGTGAACTTGAATTTTTTCGATGAGATGTGTTCAAGGAGGAGAAACAAGAAAAGGTTTATTCTGATCAATCCAACAACACCTTGGAACAAAATGAGCTCTTCACCTGCTTTTCATGAACAATCGATCCACACGTGATCCTTAGAGCGATGGCTCACGATTGCTTGCCGCGCGAAGAATCTCACCCAGACTTAGTGATATAGTGAGAACCAATAAGGACGTGTTCTTATGTGGTTGGGCTTACTACAGGTGTCGCATCAGGCGTAACTACTGCTGCGTTGTTGTCGTTGAGTCCTTGAGCCCGCAGACTGCAATCCGCTCTGTAAGGAATGGCTTTGGTTCTCTTTCATGCTGAGTGCATGTCACGTAAATATAATAAATTGTTCAGCTGTAACACTTTTACGGTGCCTAACTGCCAAGCCACCCGAAGGTTGCACGAGGGCTGGGATACTGCCAGGTTGCCCAACCAGAAACAGGGGAAGTCGAGAGGCAAAGGTCGGGTTCGAACCATGGACCTTTCGGTCAGTAAATTCGCGCTCTAACCCCCATATCACGTGGTCGCTCGCTGAGCCATATAAATAGGTTAGAATGATCAGGAAAAAGGTTTACCACATAATAAAGTAATACAGTCAAACAACTCGGAGGAAGTAGGAGTTGCCATGGAGAACCAAAATTAACCGGTGACGATTTCGAATCACAAAGCATTTGTTGAAGGTTGTCCGGCCTAATCATCGCACTGATTGCTCAACGCAATTCGGATATCCCTGTTTGAGATCTGAAGCTAAAATAGAGCGTCACACATGTGGTGGCGAAGCCAGGATGCACGCGCTGTTTTGTCCGAAGGCATTGTACCTAGTCAGCCTTCCTGATAACATCAGATTGCACAGACCACCGCTTTCTTCTATCTCCGAGTTAACCCATTCAGTCTTTGCAAATCTTCTGAAGGGTTACACCAGTCACTTGGCCCCACTGGCAAGACAACACCACATAAGGGATCAAATTCCAGTGAGTATTCCTCAACCTGACCATCTTGAGTATCCAGTAAGAGAAAGTCACATTTGCAAACGCTGGTGTCCTGAATTCTGAAAACAGTGCATGGCAGAACGTCTGAACTCGAATACCAAACAATGCACTTGCTCGACTATCATCACTCACCAGAAGTTGCTTTTCCAGACAATCTGTCCAATTTGACTGGTCCCGTTCGAATATCGGGTGGGGACACTTCAGGATTGGTCAACGAGGGGGTTTCAAAATACAGAACTGCCTCTTTACTGACCATTGGTAAGGACACCTGTGAACCGGGATGGGTAGATCGCATTACCACGCGACCTGGATCTGTCAGATGACGTGTAGCGAAGGCTTCATCGTCGACGGCCATGGAGACCACTGACGTGGGGTTAATGGCCTGCACTTTGACAATATACTGGGTGCCTGCACTGAGCGGACTGATGAGCAGTGAAGTTTCGCCCTGGGTAACAAAGCGGGGGTCGAATGTTTGGGTTATTATGAATTACGAAAACCTCAGGGAACATCAAGCCACAAGGCACAGCTAAAGTTTTACAAAACAGTGCCACACTATACTACGGTATGGTGAACTTTACTGCATTGTATTACACTGTAGTACACAAAACGACATGCCATCCTACACTATACCATGCTGCGCCATACAGTATTATTACACTATTACAGTTATTATTATCATTACAGTATGTATTACACTACGATATATAAGTACAATGTTATTACAACATTGTACTACACCAGTGGCATAGAAGTCCTGTGGTGCACCAGACGAAACAGTATCATTGTGTATGCTCTCCTAATGTCGCGTGTCATCCTAAATGTACGGCGAAAAATGAACTTTAGATGAACAATGAAAGGCGTCGAAAGTTCATCCTGTCTGTAAAGTAAGTAACCTGGCCAATTTGGTGACCTACTCACTTGGCCTGATGAAGCTCTTGTGTCAGAAGCGAAACGTTGCCCAAATGAAAACTACCGATTGTTTACCAAGCTCTTCTGAAACGATAAAATTAGACTAGTTCGGGTACACCGCAATGCTTGATCTTCAGCTTTTGTGAATCGATAACAATCGTTCAGCTGTAACACTCGTTCGGTGCCTGGCTGCCATACCACCTGGAAGATTCACGAGAGATCAGGTACTGTCAGGAGCAGTCGAGGTAGTGGGGTCGAGTTCGAGCCACGGACCTTCCAATGCGCCATTTGGGGAGCTGTTAAGTCATTTGGAACTTCTGTTGACGGAATATTTATCGGCCCCGCTTACTCAGTCATCTGTTTAGGCCGAACACAAATAAACTCGTAAACTGGACGCAGATCTCGAATTACATTTGACTTTACCGGGAGACTCAACTACATCCCAGCTAACCCTCTTGTTTATGATATTCTTCAACTGAGAGTGTTCTACAAAGTCCGCTTCATGCTCCGTAAAATATTCGAACTATTGTAGTTTATTTTCTTGGAGGAAACTACTCGTGAGGGTGTTCAGCAACCTTGTGGGTGAATCCAGTTCTCGTTCTGTTGTATCATTGCATCCTGTTTGATCGATGCTTACGGTTCCCATGGGATTCATGGAGATCCTTCGTCGCCAGTGCCTTAGTAAATGACAGACAAAGGCTTGTAATTATAAATCCGACGCAGGGAATTTGTCTCCTCTGCTGTGAGCATCCGACAGTAAAAAAAAGAATTCCTATCGATTCTTAGGAAGACGCAGTGTCTACTTCGACGGTAAGCTCAGCCAAGGAGAAAGCAGGCCTTCTAACTGGGGAAGCCCTTTGTTGTCTTCCCGGGCAACCGGCTTGCATTGGTATGCAATTATCTGATGCCTCCCAGCCTCGGTCAACCTACATCCTAAACACTGATAAAACCACCTCTAGACCAAGGTTTATTCTGAAACCTACTCAACAAAACTTACTTTCCGTAAAACCTTTGCTTCTGAATTGGCTGGATCCAATCTGGGATGTAGACCGGGCCACAATTTCCATAAGTTTGGGCTGATGGGTTTATCGCGGCTTGGTCCCCAGATAACCCTGTTCGGAGGGATGACAAAAAGACCGTATTATAACAATGTGAACACATTTCAACAAAAACAAANGACCGTATTATATCAATGTGAACACATTTCAACAAAAACAAAGTCGGGAATTTGTCTTGAACCGATAGGTAGCTCCAAGAGCGAAGCTATTTTCGAGGATAAAAGTTCATTAGTAGCAAAGGCATACGACCTTGGCAGGCAGTAGTGTACACTCAGCGATCAAGGGTACAACTCACATATGCTTTGTTTAGAGATCCCACAAGAAACGGGCGCACGGCCATTCAGATATCGATTCTGTCAGCAGGTGTTAGATGAGTTGGCTAACTCATCGGGACCGCGTACANCACTAGTCGTTCCGGATGACGCGTCCGTTTCCATCAGCACTAAGGTGATTAAGAAACTTGAAGTGAGCAGCTTGTGATTCGCTAACTTAGCTATTCGAGCGTTCTCCACATTCATGCTCAAAGCTCCAGTGGATAGTAGTGTGGCGTTTTGTAACTTTATTTTACTTTACTTCCATTATAACACAACTTCACAGAATAGAAGCGTGGTCAACTGCGTTGCCTCGCTCATCTGATTTCCCTTGGGCTTGCAGCGGCCTTTCGCGAGTCTCATGTACTAACTCTGGTACCAAAACATTTCGGACCATCTTCGGAATCTATTATATGTGGAAATTGTTCAGAAGAAGACCTCTGGACCAACATAGTTGGATTATTATTTATTCGCTGACCTGAGCCAACGACGAACTATTTTAAAGAGAACAATTGTTAATGAGTCTGTCTCCATTTGGCCCCTTTATCATTGTATACCCAATCTAACGTTAGTAAGTTTATTTCTTGGCCACACACTTCCAGTAAAGTAACTTATTGGGTAGCAAGACCACCACAGTTCCTGCACAAACAGTTAGAAATATAGCTTTGCATAACAGGTTTGATGTAGTTAACTTGTTCCTGTTTGTTGAATTAGCTTACATGACCTCGTCTTTCAACTTTTATTTTCCCATCTTCCATGATCATTGCTCGGTCACTAAGTCCAAGTTTGATCTGTAACAGACAGCCGAATATCAATGGAGTTCCAGAAACGTAAGCGTAAACTTTGGGGAAAGCCCAAAGCGAAAGTGGTTGAGGCGGAGATGTCAGGGAATGGAGCACTATTACATCAGTAGTTCGTCTTGCCTGCTAACAGGATCACAGGACCTCGTCCATATGGGTCCTTCTCCGATCTCACAAGTGTACAATGGTCGAGCAAACTGGTGGACACAATGGGGAAAACTAGGATCTCAGGGTTTTTTTCTATCCCAACCAGTTCAGATAAGGAAACAAGGTGGCTGAACACTATAGGTAGCCATCGTATAGATGCATCCCAGTTATGACTAAAAAGAATAGCTGGAGAACGCAAGGTCGAGGAGTAGGGTCATTCTCTGACTAAGTATCTAATCATGCCAGAATGATATTTGACCCGAAAGATTTGGTGTGTACAACCTTTGTCACTATTATAAGGAATTTACGATCGACCTTGTCATCATCATCGACAGCATAACATCCGTGTTCGACACCCCTGTTCGTTACACACCGGTCAGGATCCTACCCCGGGGGTGAGACCTATATAAGAGGACGGTTATCGTCCTCGATCAAAGCCTGGCCGCAAGACAGCGGTGTTCGGCGGGAAATTCAGATGCACTGCCACTTTTTGAAGAACAGATTGCCACGCATGTTTTAACCCCCAACCTGGTAGGCCAGGTCGGACCTCTAACCATTGACAAACCTGCAATGAGAGACTGCGCGAGTGTCATACGGACATCCTCCAGTATAATAGTTGATTTTTTGACTGAACTGGACAATTTGAACGCAAACGTTTCATCGAGGTGACATGATCATTAAGTTGTCACGAAGACTGGTGGAGCATGGTTGAGCAAGGCGATGAGTAGGTGGTCAAGTGGTGTTGCGTGTGTTAATATACGCGCTGTCAGCCGTGGGTCAGTTCCACTGATTCTCTGTTATCCTGTGTTCTGATTGGTCGGTGACCAAGTGAACTTTGAGCTTGACTTGCCCCAATTTTGTACTCTGATTGGTGCTGGAGTGACCTCTGTCTTTTACCTCTCTGGGTTCCAGTTTCTGAACTCTATTGATCTGACTAAGATGAGTTTCTTGTTTCTTGGTTTTTCAATCCGATAGACAACTCTCCTCTGGTTTAGATTTTTGTCCTCTGCATCTACTGGTTCGTAAGCTGGACTTAGTTCAGTTTAGATTTTTGTCCTCTGCATCTACTGGTGCGTAAGCTGGACTTAGTTCAATGCGTGGGTTGATCGAATCCGTCATGGAGTACCATGTTGCCAGAAAGTCCCTTCCGTGTCTCATGTCTCCGCTTGTCAAGAAATCAACGCTTTCCCGACCGAATTTGTGGCCTTCTTGGTCTTCATGTTTTGCGCGGGAAATCCATTGGGTCCAGCCGAATCTCTCTTTTATTCCTCAACTGAATGCATTGCAACAGGATGCCCCATTTTTCAGTTGTCACGATATTCGAGATAATGTAATACATTGTCCATACGCAACACACTACTCATAAGGTTGCTGAAAACTCTTTGACAGCCCATGACTGGTTTCGGCCTTTTTGCGGCCCATCAGGGTTGATGATCCCCAAGAAGGACTAAACCCGTCGTGGGCCGTTGAAGGACTTTCATAAACCTTATAAATCATGTGGACAAAGCTTCACTACGTTTGTTTTCCTAAAAGCCACGCACAATACGGTAAATTATTCTCAACTAGAGAAAGATTACTGTTGCTAGGGGGCTTCTTATTCGCTTTTCCCTTTGCCAGAATGCGTCAGAGTACCAACGGAGGATCAGGTACGACCTAATTTGTTTCCCTTGGACCGGAAGATGAAGCATGTCACGCAGGATGGAAAGGAAATACTCCAAAACAGTTACACCTGCTATTCTATTAAATACTTGTTGCTTCCCAACTCAAGCTTCATCTAACCAGACTCAGTTTAGGCGCAGTGACCAGTTTTTGTGAAATCCCACAAACTCGATACAGTTCCGACTAGTAGCCGACCTTTCCAATCAGTTTTTACCTGGCAGCTAGGAATTTTGACGTTTCCAATGTCCCAGTGTTCATGACGTTTATGGATAAGCACCTACGGATGACCACAGACTAACGATAAGTCAGACAGGTAATTTACAACTCAGCATATTTCGGGTGTCAAGCGGAAAAAAACTGCCAGGTTAGGTGAACGAAGAGTGGTAAACCTCGTCGAGAGCGAACAGTGACAGCGATCTTGTTCGTACAAAAACAATGCGTTGAGAGACTGACGAGGATTGCTAAAACGATATTCGACTGCAAGTTGTCGATGTAAACACCGGACAATGTTTGAATTTGGTAGTTACCGTAGTTTCACGTTAAGCAAAAGAGAGAATATATTGGCTAAATACACTAATTTGCAAGCTGGTTTTTCGAGAGACTCACCTGGAACGCAGCTAAATCTCTCGGTTCTGATGTTCTCAGGCAACTGAATGTGCTGCACCAGGCCGCCTCATGTTTCAGTCGCTACGATATTCGAAATGTTGCGATACACACAAGTAGAACATAAAGTTAACGGTAACTCGGGGACTACGCCTACCTGATGGGCCCCAAGAAGGGCGAAACTGGTCGTGGGCTGTCGACGAATTTTCAGCAACCTTATGGCTGGACTCGTAGCCTACCCGCATGTACGCTGACATTGGATGACCTGTTTTCTCTGATGTTTGCACACCTTTTGTATTGAATGGCTTGAATGCATTTCAATAGTTCCCATTGTGTAAAACGTGTAAGACGCCTCAAAAGTTACGAGACAAAAGGCAGTGGGTATCGATTGTTTTGAGCAGTCAGTTGGACCACGTTGAGTTACGCAAAAACTCAAATCGTTCACATGGAGATTTACCAACAAATGTGGTACAATAAATGCAATAATAAAATAGCAGATCCCAAAGTCCACACCGGCTCAAGATAACGTGGCTACAAGATAAGCAAACTCACATGTTGATTTAAACAAAACGTGCAATGACAAGGTCAAAGAGCCGTTAAAATAAGAAAGGCGGTACAGGCACAAAATGGGAATCACGCTGTACAAAATAGGAATAGAGGAAAAGAATGAATCGTGGGGTTGTTAAGGAGTTGGAGGGAAGCAAGCCAAAGCGGCAAGTGAATTTCTGATTGGGCAGAACAGGTGCTACGGGACATGCAAACTAACTGATCGCGTCATCGCCTCCACTTCTTGGTTGTATCTCCCTCGCTTTCTGATTTTCCGGTGAGTGAAACTGTCGCAGCTGGAACCAACTTACTCTTGGTACATGGTTTATAGTAAATCAGCTGAACTGAGCCATTACGACCCTGTTATTGTACTTTTAAATCGAAGACTGTTTTGATGACTTCATTGTACGCCTTGTTGACTAAAACTCCTTGGCTGTAGTCTGGTGTTGTACTGTCAGATAAGCCTGCTCCGGATGTCACAGCTAAGCTAGTAAGTTCTGGCTGTGTCTAACGCAGTTCAGAGGTTTGTATGAACCTACAAACCAGTCGACGGAACATTCTCCTTTCCTCACTCTTCCGGAGTGCCTTACAGGTTGCGATAGTGAGCTGTGTCATGACGAGAAAGCATCTCGGAACCAAAATTCAGCTGTTGACCAAGAATGCGCTCATGTCTGTGACATTCCTCTGACAACTGCGTGAGGGAATTTACCATCGACGGTACCCATGGCACCACCCACTGGCCGTTCGATAAACGAAAGTCCGCAGACCGCCTACCTAACCATGCGCGGTCAAATTGCAACTAATTCCCGTCCTCAACGTCAAATGATCTGATCAGTTCGTTTCCGCACAGTTGCAATCATTCCTAAGCATCAGTTATCAGTCTACATCGCGTTTCAAATGTGAACACACAAAGTGAAAACGTCATGCCATCTCTTTAAACATCAAATGTTATCATGAGTTCACGCAACACTAACCTGTAATGCATCAAGTTGTGTTCCGCGTCGAAATTTACAGACTGTGGTTTTTCTGTGACCATTTGTTCTGCACGGATAAATGTGCCACCGTGTTTCGACCGGGTCTCGCCCAATTCACGACCAGGCAACCAAGTGATGTTGTAGGCCAGAGGAGCGGATTTTACAAGGTGATATTTCAAATTGCGTGGAGTCGGTATGTTTACTGTTTCTGCAGGGTGAGAACAAAGAAGGTGGCTCGGAGATACCAAGAAGCATCGAATCGACGTTCAATCGAGTAAAGATCGATTCCCAATAACCTGATTTCCATACAAGCAATCTGATGTTGTAAAATGGTATTGTACAGACAAACTCTTTCTAATTCAGCGTGAACACTATTCAACCGGTACACATAATACTATTGTTACCTGATCGCTGACAGTCCAGAGTGGGAACCCATGGGGACAACACCAGTTCAGAACAGGCCGGAGTGCATACACATGCGCGCAACAACGTGTCAGGTTCAGAGGACTTCCGTCCGCCAGATGTGCTTGGCGGCGCCTTCAGGACTTCCAAAATATATCGACAATTTAGCTGTAGGTTGGTAAGTTCCGCTTCTCCATACCTGATGATAGTCTGGTTTTTAGACACGGGTTTCAAATGTAAGGCCAAAGTGGATGGTTGGAGAAGCAGTTGTTCGATTGGTTTGATGCCAACTAATTTATTCGTTGATATCGGTTGAGTTTTTGTTACCAACGGTGTTAGTCGGGGTTCCGCAGCTCCATGGGTCTCGATGCACACTTGAGCGGTCCACTTCAGGTGAACTAGATCTGTAAAATGAACAGAGGGTTGTGACTGATCGCGGGCGAATGTAATCACTTCAATGATTAGAAATTAATAAGAATGTGGACGTAGTGACGTCGGACTTAGTTGGTAGAAAGTAAGAAAGTGACATTCCAAATTGTGTCCCAAGATAGAAGCACTCTGTGGTCATTTCATCCTTATTGGGCGTCCTCAACAGTGTGCAGCATGCGATTGTTCAGGGAAGTTCAAACCAGCGACCTCTCAGCTTGAAGTTGAAAGAAAGTGAACTAGGCCACAATATATATGCTACACAGGGTCCAAAAAGTGTATGGTCTGCATATTTCGGAACTCTTTGGTCTGCCAGTTTGTCAAAGTGCATGTGTGAAACAACTCAACCGACTAATACAACACCCGGTCCGATCTAAGGATCTGGACAGACGTGGAAGATACTTCCGGCAGGATGGTACCGCTTCGTGGTACCATGGTGCGCAGCACTCACGTAACCAATGAACGAATCACCATCGGCAATCCGAAATTCACACCTTATTGCTGATGGATAGGTTGGTCTGTTTGTTACCTACAGGACAAGTACTCGGTTGACAGGAGCGTCGAAATGGTCCCACCCTGCACAACGTGTCTTTTAGTGCCACTCACGAGTAAGGACGGAGACAAAAGTCGGCAGTATCTTTTCTTTCAGCGTAATTCTGCAAGTCACTTTCGAATCATCTCTGCTCCCCAAGAATCGCTCTGTAAAAAAAAAAAAAACAAATTTGTTTGCAAATGGGGGTATTTGGCTAATTTCGTGCAATTTGGATTCAAGTAGAACATCAGACTGACGGATACTTGAGAGCGGCGTCTGCTTAATGAGCCCTAAGAAGGGCGAAATCGGTCGTGGGCTGTCGGAGTTTTCAGCAGCCCTATGAGTAGTGCATTACGTCTATAGATGAGAAGCTCGTTCAGCCACTCCCTACTTTTCCCCCCTGTTCCCATCTTTGACGCGACCCCGTGTGGCCTGAAATCCTCCTTTCTAGTGTTCCAGCCCTAGTGCATTTGGTATCGATTTTGCCTTCACAACTTACGTCCCATTTCACCGTGATTAATCGCTGCTACGCTGACCGTTTTTTATCTCGCATTGTAAGGCGGAATTCCTCGCGGACCCCTCTTTACCGCTCGCAGTCAGGTGCTGCAATGGTCGAGAAGTCGTCCCACGCCAAGACTGGCCAAAAATTAGGGACGCTTGCCGGTCCGGCATCAAGCTGAGATCTGATTGGACGAAAGTCTGAACCCAACAACTAATCATGACCCAGTATTGGCCAAATACCGGTTGCCAATGCCGCATCCAGAACGCGTCAGGATTTCTAGAAAGTTGTCGCTACTTACACTATATATAGGAAGTGCTGTACAAGTGTTCCTGACTTCGTTCTGGTAGGAACGCCAGCTTGGGAGGCTCATACCAAGAAATAAGCTGAGAAAAACACCGTTACTACACGCATGCAACCTGATGCATAACCTGGTGGTGACACCCAATTGAATTCGACGCCAAAAAATTACACGAGCTCATTTAATCCAGCCGGCGTATTTTTATGTCAAGCGGGTTCCGCAGCAAGTTCAGTCGGTTCACGAAAAACGCCCGAAACTGAACACCGTTATTTCTAACCTTCATATTCCGTCAGAAATATATTTAACGTTACCCAACTTTCCTGCTGGACATCGGTGCCTATTACATCCACTAGTAACGTGTCACCTGACACATTGTACACAAACAAAATATCAGGTATTGAAACTTTTACCAACTATCAACATATTGAATAAAGTCACCGGTGAGTGATCACTTTTATCAGGCTGTGGGTGGCAAATAGATTTTCCAGAAAAAAAAACAGTTTTGTTTTCGCGTCAGACTCAACCAAATCTCGGTTGACATTTTTCAACCAGCTGGTGTGTAAATGATTGTATTTCGCGAATTTTGCACAGTTTGACCTCAGATAACGGATTCGCGGGGGGACTGCACCCACTCGATGAGTAGCTCCAAGAAGGGTGAAACTAGCCGAAGAGTTTTCAGCAATCTCCTCACACGTAGTTTCCTTCAAGCCCAGTGAGGTTGGGACTGAACGCGAGGACGTTTTTGGCAACAAAGCTGTAGTAGCGATATTTCTCTCAGCTTAGTTCTCGGCCTGAGCCTCCCAAGCTAGCGTTCACGTCAAAAACATAAGGTATATTAACGCCCAAAACAAAGTCAGGAACACTTGTACAACGCTTCCTATATATAGCGTGGGCGGTTATAACTTTCTGGAAATTCTGACGCGTTCTGGATGCGGCATTGGCAACCGGTATTTGGCCAATACTGGGTCATGATTAGTTGTTGGGTTCAGACTTTCGTCCAATCAGATCTCAGCTTGATGCCGGACCGGCAAGCGTCCCTAATTTTTGGCCAGTCTTGCGTGGGACGGACTTCTTAGCTGTAGCAGCACCTGAGAGCGAGTGGTGAGGAGGGATCCGTGTGGAATCCCGCCTAACAGAAGCCCCCACTTCGATGGGCTTAGATTATTTTTTAGCTTGTTCTTAGTACTAAAAACTGTCAGGTCATGAGCAACTGAACGGTAAACTTGTCATGAGATTCCGCTCTCAACTAACCAGGCCTTTCGTGAAATACACTAATTCGCACACTAGTTTGGTTTTCACGGGATGCTCATCAATCTTGATCTCTCATTTGTGCTGTTTCACGTTTCACTAAGCTCGATATATGAGATTTCGCGGCATATCTTCTTGAAAGAAGCTACTCATCTGGTTGTTGAAAACTCTGATTGGTTTCTCCCGTCTTTTGGGCTCATCAATCTTATGTTAAGCGACCCTATAAGCAGTAAACAGGCTTTTATTTCTGAAACTACCGACGAAATCACTCCACTGCTTCAATTTGTTTTCGCCGATTCTTGTCGAGCAGAACATGGAAACTGTTTTTGGTTGGACACTGGAAGAACAAGCCAGCTGTCTGTTGCAGAGACCGTTCACATAAAAGACGAGGAATCCATCTACAAAGTGCCCATAATGAAATCACCTGTCTCTTGCAATATGTACAAAACTGAAACAATAAATTCTAGTGCCCTTACTAGTTCCATTTTGAAAGAATGAACCTTCAGTAGTTGGTTGAAGGTAAAATCTGAACATCCAGTCGAGGAACCCGCGGTTCTCGTCTTAATTCACCACCACAGGCAGTGTGGATGCCAAAAGCAACAAGCTGTGAATCGGAGTGGTTATACAAAACAACGCCCGATGTGAGTAAAGCATCAAGACCGCCAATAACCTGACTATCAAATGTGACCTTTCTCCCTACCGTGTCGTTTCATCATGATGTGGACAACCAGTTGGGTGATTTAGACAGCTCCAGCAACAGACAGACTCTGTGTGCTCTTACACGGACAATACGAGTGTCGCCCGTATTGTTGGGGACAATATTGGCGACTTCAACCCAAAAAACACTGAGAGCTATAAGTCTTTTCGCGTCTTTCGATTTGGGGAATAAAGATCCGTGCGACTTGTCATCCAATCACTTGTAATCAATGGGAGGCAGTCGGTCGGCGGGACAGGGGGTCATTCTCGTTCCTTTGATGTTATCTGATGTTTTTCAGCGTTCCTATGCATTTGTTCGTCGAACCTAAGGCACAAATTGTGACATTTCGTGGAATCAAAACTGATCGATTTGCTGGTTCCAGAAAAGTGCGCATTTCCTCCGTGAGCAGGTAGATGAAAATAAACGGGCCACAGTTTAACTGAGACAGTGATTTCCCCATTCCTTTCTGTCTTCCAGACGTTCGGGTTGCGCGCTTTTCCACTAATGGTCGGTATCAGTTAGAGAAGCATGTGTTACCTCTTAACCACACTGACTAAGCCCAGGTGATCTGCTCCAAGACAAAGTTGTGGATGACAGACAGTGGCAAAATCACACACGCTTACCTGAACCTAGACGGGTGGAACTGTGCTCACTCAGCTGAAGTCGCATACGCACTTGCCTTCCGTCAAACACGGCAGGATCTGTGTGCAATTCGAAGCGAGGTGGGGCTGCATGCGGGCTGTCAACGGCAGTCGCTGTGCTGATGACAGACGGTTCAGGGAGTACACCACTTTTGCTCTTTCCGTCACAAATGCACTGCGTATGTCCTCCTGGGAACGGAAATACACAGAGAGGGAGAGGAGATAGATGCTAAGATAGAGACCAAGCCATCGGGTGAGCGTGAGATGTGCATACATGCGGGGGGGGGGGCGTATTCTGAATGCATAAGTACTGTACAGTCAGTGTGTTTGTGGTACCGATTCAATTATGTACAAACTATTGTCGGAGTACAGTTCACACCCTGTGCAAGTGTTCTTAATCAACCTGAATTCATCTGCTGGCCGCTACCGGACTGTTTTAGCTCTATTGAAAATAGAACATCTGTATGATGCCTACTCTTTGAATGCTCAGGAGCGAACCTCCGCAAATGACACTATGCCACCTGTGAAAAGGGGACGAGTGGATGTGGTTGCATGGATGAACAACTGAGGATCTTTGGAGTGCTTTGACTTATAGTATAAAGGAAAAGTGCGAAAATACGGAGCTCAGCTGAACATGAACAAGCCTCATCATTATCACTAGCAGTTGTACAACCATGATTTATTTGAAAGCCTTGTTGTAGAGAAAAGAATAAGAGTGGACGAGGACTTAGTGCTGGTCTAACCACAATCGTTTCGAGTTGCCTGCATCTCCAGACTCTCAGTCAGGTAATGTGGATAGAAAGTGACAACGAGAACGCTACTGACATCGATTAGCAACCATATCTTGCAGCGTCTTCAGCCAAACGGAGCGTGGATCACGAGGTCACCACTCTGGAAGGCGAATAGCACAGACAGTGTCCAAACGTTTCCTAATTTCTACCAGCTCAAGAGTTGGTAATCTCTCTGCTTCCGCCACTCTGAATTGGGCACGGAAAACAGCATACTCCTTAACAAACGATGGTTCGACATCCTCAATATATGTCCCAACCAACGCATCTTCTGGTGCTGGACACATTCTTCTATGGAAGTCCCCGTTGCACAAACGAACATTC